GAGCTTCAGGGGGGTCCTGTCCTGGCATTCAGGTTAAACATCTGCCCTTGTTTCCACGACTACCTTGACTGAACAAGGGGTACTCATGCCTATGAGTTACTATGCACCCCCCCGGCAGACCCCAGGTGAGGGGGCATGGGGGGGCATGGGGAACACCGTGCACAAGCCAGGGCCCAGGGGCCAGTCCCCGCTTCCGGCTCCGGGTGCAAGCGTGTGGCCGGATGCGTGTTGGGGTGGTACACTGGAGCTGGGGGTGATTACCTCAGGCTTCTTCTCTACACACAATGTTATGGGGGCTGGGATGAACCCAGAGGGGGGGCGCAGTGGGGAGGCTTTCGGGGGGGTGTCCTCCTGGGCGGCTGGAGCTCTGGAAGGAGCATCCATCTCCTCCTCTGTCCTCTGCTCCATCTCCTCCACAGGCGTTTGGATTCCCTCCACCCTGTCCTCCACATTCTCCCTCGGGACCCCCCAGCGGTCCGAGGCTCGGCTCCTGGGCCGGTGCTCCTTGGTGCGGCCCCGGCCCATCAAGCTGGTGAGGCCGGCAGAGATATCGTCCCCCATCTCTGTGCAGGCACTCAGCCCAAATACCTTGGGAGGTTTGGTCATGTGGGCAGAACCGTCTGGGTCCTCCCCTCCTCTAGGGGGCAGCACCCTCCCATCAGTGGGTTCCTGCTTCTTGTGCACTGGCTGCACATCAGCAGGGGGAGGCTTAGTGTGTGACATGCCATCGTTGCTACTGGTCTGCACACACAGAACGGTAATGGTTACCAAACAGTGCTACAGCCTAGCATGCGAGAGGAACATAGATATGGTACAAACTGGACTTCAGCTTGTGGGATGAAGACTGAAAGCTTATTGCAATGGACACTGAGCTAGAATGAACCATAAAACCCTGAGCCACCAGAGGGCGCCAATAAGCACTGCTTTACCATGATGAAATACCACCTTGGCTTTGACATTGTTAGTCACATGATCAGCTGAGCTGTTCTGTACTCTAGTGCAAGAATCTCCATCTGAAGCTGCGCAAACTGGTCATACCGTAAGATAGGGAACAGCAGGAATAATTTTAGAATGATTTGTTTGTTTCCTGTATGCTTATTTTCTGTTACACTATGACTCACCACGACTGCTAATTTTGCAGTTTCTCCTTCAGGGACTTTAAAGAACTTCATTCCATGAACCCAATATACAGCTAAGCATGTATATTACAAAGGTCACAGTCATCGCATCATTTCCTGTAAGACCACTTCATAGACAAGTGTCTGTGACATCACTTCCTGTTATTTATTATATAACTGTATGGGTATTACATTACACTTTTTTCTCTTTTGCTATTTTACTGCTAACCCCAGGGTTTGTGGTGGTTCAGCCACACAGAGCAACACTTGAACTTGTGTTTGTGGTTGTGTACATGCGTGTTTCACCCGGCTGGGTAATACTTCTCTGTGTGCTTGGACACTTACACCAGCGCCCTTAGTAACTGGCTGGGTCTCATCATTAACCTGAAGGGGACAGGAAGGGGGATACTAGTCAAACCCAGAGAATATAAACCACAAACTCAGTCAGCCCATGCATGTAATTCTACATGTTGCCTGTAGGGTTACAGTTCGGATGGCCATACACAGTCTGACAAACACCAGGAGACGCTGCAGGTTTCACATGCATTCAGAAGCAGGAGGAGTGTGACAAGTGGAAACAGCAGGGGGCGTGATGGTTAACAAAACTGTGCCGGTTGAGATCCCTGGCTTAGAATAGCTGCCACGCCTTCGAGCCAGGAGCACTGCAAAATCAAAAACACACACGGGCACACACACGACCTCCCTTTCTCTCCCAGAATGAAAAGCGCGAGGAGAAGGCCATCTTGCTGGCTCCGCCCTCTCTGGAAAAAGGAGCGGGTCCACTGGAGGAAAGAGCAGAAGTGGGAGGAGTCACAAGCACGGTGTGGGGCTCGGGGTCGGTTGCCTTCAGGACCGAGCTCTCATAGGCAAGAAAGAGGTGGAGGAGAGTGGACTGAACCACTGAGGAAGGGAAAGGGGTGGTACAGCTGTGAGATGGGGGGCTGAACCACAGAGGAAGGCAGAGGGGTGACAAAGCTATGAGAGGGCGGGGCCAGAAATCAGTCATCACAAATGCTCAGAGGAGTTTAAGCCAGAACTCATATAGCACAAGACACAAAGACTGATGACCCGCTGTGTGTAAACATCCTTCAGATGAACTCCAGGTTCAACAAGAGGCCAAATGTAACCAGGATGTGTAATGAACCAGTACAGCATCACTACAGCACCTGTTAAGGATCAATACAGTACAACCACATCACCGGAGCTGACTACCGGGTCTGACCTCCCCGTACCGGGCTGGGTCGGCTGACTAGCGGGTCTGACCTCCCCGTACCGGGCTCGGTTGGGCTGGCTGACCAGCGGGTTTCTTTGCCCTGTACTCGGAGTGGGTCGGCTGATCAGCCGCAGTCAATCTCACTGTGGGGCTGGAGCAGATACAGCCTTGCTATAAATAACGCAGCCCGCCAGCCTGCAACTGGAGCTGGAGAAACATGGCCGGACAGAGCGGCCGGATCTAGGCCCCATAGCACTGTGCCCCCACCAGTCCCTCCCCAGCACAGGAGCTTCAGCACCGATCCCCCCGCTTACCGGAGCACAGGACGGACCTGCGACGGAGCAGCTGGCGGCGGGCGTGTCTGTTATCACCAGTGCAGGGTTCCAACGCGCGGGTATGGGGAGTTACACGTCAGCCGGGGGGGGAGGAAGGGGGCAGCTGCTGGGAACACAAAAATATCTACCCAGCTTGCCCCCTCCCAGCGTCAGGAACACAAGCAAGACGGGGGGGTCGTCTGAATGGGACGGCATGGAGTTGAAACAAGTGATCATCAAGCCTCGGACCAAAACAGGACTGCAGAGGGCGGGAACCCCTAACCAGACCCATGGGGGGGGGGGCACACATGGCCCTACACTTAGTAATGAAATGGAGCTCTGAGGTGGAGCCCCTAGGGTTTTGCGGCAGCTTCGCTCGACCCTCCTCAGCTGCCCTGAATTTACGAACATCCCATTAACACCTTCAGTCCGAGCACATTTCAGCTGACGTGCGACCAACGCTGCAATTCCAGCTGCAATACTTAACTACACCACTAGAGGGTACATACAACTATATTCCACTAACACCTATATCCACTTGACACCAGAGGGCGCTGTTTCTCTGATCATGAATCTTGAAATTACAGTACATACCAATTGGCAGTGCTTTTGAAACTGGGGTTGATAAATAATGAAATATTTTATACCACCTATCACCATGTGCTTCAAACCAAATCCTACAGGAGAAACTATAATAATCATAGTCATTAGGAATGCAGCGTTTGTGTGACTAATCTTGTTCACTCCGGGAGAAAAGCATCATGGAAAAACTGCAGAGGCATAACTCGCTCTGGACAAACTGTGCTTTTCACTGCCGCTGTGTGGGCAGTTAAGGGCACTGTGTTGGTGGCACAGTGTGTGTGTGTGTGTGTGTGTGTCTGTGCTTAAGTGTGTCTAGGAGTGTGTGTGAGTGTGTACGTATGCACAACTGTGTGTGCATTTGTGCCTGTCTGTGTCTTTGCACATGTGTGTCTGGGCCTGTATGTATGCAGTTGCTATAGTCACATGTAACGACGTTATGTAATGAAATTACAAAATATATGTAATTGTAATTCGTTACAGCTACTGAGGAAAAAAATATATAATTAAATTACAATACTAATCAAAATGGGATACATTTGTTTCGGAAAAAATAAATAAAAAGATTACACATAGCATTAATCTTTTCACCATGCAGAAATGGCGCGTTTGTCACATTTCCAGACAAGGCAGGATCGCTTTATTCCCCAGTTTAAAACACTTGCCAGAAAAGTAATCAAAAAGTAATAAAACGTAATAAGTTACATTACTTTGATG